GGAAAAGTTCAGTTTTGAATCCCTCCTGTGGCTTTTACATAAGAAAGCGTTATGCATCTTAAGTTCTAGGACTCATGCAGTTCATATTTGTTGCTGTTTTAGGCACTGCTATAAGTACTAAATTGCAACAGACTCAAGAAATCCAGTTTTCCAAATATGATTATTAAATGGTTCTCAAAAGAACCTTATGGAAGTTACAGTCTGAAGGATGGTGACTTGACCTGTGATGCATTTAACATGCACAGTTTTTAAATTTTGCTTTGTCCTAAACATCATAAAATCAACTAAAGGTAGATTTGATTATGGACTTCAACAAGGCTCACATTTGAGAAATGAAATAACACAGACATGAATAGATTTATAGGTTCATCACATCAAAGAGGTAATCATTTGTAACTTTCCAACATTTTAAAATAAAAGATTATATAACTTCAACTCAAATGAGGCTTGAAAAAAAAAAACAAAACATAGCATTCTTGATATAAAGTGTTCTGTTAACATTGCTCTTCAGTACCTTCTTTATTTATTTATATATTTTTTGGTATGTTTGCATATTGCATCCAGAGCTACAGATTTTCCACAGTGCTTTTCTGCCTCATTCAAGTATAATAAAAGTAGAAATCTATAGAAGCTCTAAGGTTAAACAAACTGTATATCATACAAAAAAATTAACTTAATTTACACAGTCAGAAAGTATTGGCAATGCCCTTTATAAATCTTATCAAAGATTCATCACAAAGGATAATACAATCTACATATGTGGACTCACCATACAAATGCCATTTTGATTTAGGTGGTGCAGAAGTGAATATCTGTTAAATGTACACATGTAGAATCAGCAATTTGTACCGTATATATTTCTTTTAAAGTAACAGTATTATCAATACTAATCTAAGGTACAGGATTTTCTTATTGCATATTTATTGTTGCTGAGGCAGTTAGTTATGATACAATAACACAATATCCATAATAATTTTAAATAAACAAAAACATTTCTTCTGGCAACAATATAAAGAATATATTTTTCCTAAAATCAGTAAGAACATTGCTACATACAGATTTACTCAAATACTGAAAAACATGACCTTAAGGCATCTGCCAGAAAACCGGATGCACATATTTATATGAACTAAGTTATGGAAGAAAAAAATATTGCACAAAATCCTATTATTTTCAAAATAAAATATTCTTCTGTCTAAATGTACATAACTCCTTATTTCTCCCTCAAATCATGTTAACTGGCTTGCCCAAAACCAGTCTGCCTCTTAAATAAGGTTTAAGAAACATACACTAACAATATTACTGGGCTTGACCCAGGAAAGAGACATTAGTACTGACATAGGGTTTGTAAAAACTATTTCCTAAATTAAGAAGTACTTTGGAGGAAACTAGATTTTGGATTCATTTTACATTCTTAAATATTCTGATTTACAAATATCTTAAGATTCAGGGTCTTTTATGCCAAAGAAAACAGAATTTGTTTAAGAAAATTTATCCATGAAAATAATGAATCTTTTCCTGAAAAATCCAAATTTTCTACAAGAGAATGAAGGTCTATCGACTGAGACATTCACAGTGTTCTCTTGATCAGGAAATCTACTTGCTCACCTTAATTAAGAAAGAACTAATTCATTAGAATTCCTGAATCCTATTGTTAGGATATTAGCATAGAATAGCACTAGTAATAGCAGTCACAGTTTTTATTTAAAAGGGAGGGACTGTTTCTACAGAACGCTGTTATTCATATAAAAATAGTAAAAATTGGATTCCCATTAACATGCATCCACGCCTTCAGTTACTCCTAAACTGAGTACAGTGTCTCTAAATATTGAAAAGGAGCATCATTCCGTTATAGAGAGCCCTGTGCTGCCTTTTTGTCTGTTAATAAAATTAATAATAAGACACTCAGCTTCTAAAAGAGTATCTGAATCTGCCCTTTAAATGTGGGTATCTTAGCAGCATAATATTTAGCATAACGATTGAGAAAGTTAATAAAATTAGAAATGATACTAGGGTTCATACTTAGAGCATGCTTTAAATTAAGCAGCTAGATTTTTTTTTTAAACCTTTGTGTATGTGTGTTAGAATCTCAGCTAATAACTTCCAGGCAAAGCGCATTATTATTATTATTTTAATAAAAATTTGCAATTCCTTTTCCTTTTAATTTGTTCCTTCAGAGCAGTGACTATGTCAGTTATTTTATTTTCTCACATCCTCAGCTACAAGTATTCTGCATATAACTGGTATGAAAAGTCAATGAATAGGTTTTAAATGAACATGTTATTAACTAATTTTAATTGACTGAAAAAATAATCATGCTATATTTTGGTGCCTTTCTAAGACACATTAAAGTAGGTAATCATCAAAATATACCACTTAATAATATTTTCGCTTAAAAAAAATAGCTGCTATATTCATATACTATTTCTCTATACCCCTGAAATACCACGGATGCAATATCTAAGGGTAAAAAGATAAAAGTGAGAGTGGGATTCTGAAAGAACCATGACTCCACTATAGGCCAGATAAAGACTATGAACCAAGGCCAAAAGTCTTTTTAGTTTATACAATTCTGTTGTATTAACAGGTGTTGCTTCTTTGAAAAATAATTTCAAACAGCAGATGAGCTTACAAATATTTGGTTTAGTTACCATAGAAAATATGGGCACTGTAGAATATAAGATAACAATTCTTGTTTATTTCAGAACTCACCCCAATTTCACTTTATTCTCACTATATCCACCATAATACTAGGAAGTTCCATTTTAAGAGCAGACTTTGAATAGTCAAAATTTTACTGGTTTGAAACACAAATACTTGTTAGTATTCTTCTGGATGTTTTTTGTTTTTAACACAGAATAAAACAGCTAATGTTCCATTAAAATAAGGCACAAATCACTTTTTTTTTTTTTTGAGACGGAGTTTCGCTCTTGTTACCCAGGCTGGAGTGCAATGGCGCGATCTCGGCTCACCGCAACCTCCGCCTCCTGGGTTCAAGCAATTCTCCTACCTCAGCCTCCTGACTAGCTGGGATTACAGGCAAGCGCCACCATGCCCAGCTACTTTTTTGTGTTTTTAGTAGAGACGGGGTTTCACCATGTTGACCAGGATGGTCTCGATCTCTCGACCTCGTGATCCACCCGCCTCGGCCTCCCAAAGTGCTGGGATTACAGGCTTGAGCCACCACGGCCGGCCCTCACAAATCACTTTTAAATACCTTGAGACAATTATCTTACTTAGGAGTGGCTAAATATCCCCAAAACAAGAGTATTGTAACCAAACACCTTGAAAGGTGGCTGAAAAGTAGAACAAAATTTAGATTTCTGAAACCACGTTGTTGATTAAGCAAATGGCCTAAAAACCAGATTTGCCCCTATGCTATACTCAACAGTTATTCTTCTGAGTTCTGAAAAAAAAAATACCATACCTCATTTCAAAATTCGTATTAAAAGGCTGATTTACATTCTTTTCACAAATCATGAAGGAATATTTGCCAAGTGGATTAACAACCAGAGTAATTTCTCCTTTTCTCCTTTCCTTCTGATTTAAATCAGCTCTTTTGATATATGGACTTCTTCCATTATAAACTTCAGTAAATTGGAATTTTGTAATAAGCTTATAAAGGCAAAATTTGACAAGAACCTTGAGTCTTCTGTATTAAAAAATAGGGATTAAACACTGTTTTCCTTAATGTATACAGAGTCCATAAAGGGAAACAAGACTTGTCTTCTTATATAGTCATAATGAATAAGTGTACCAAATAACATATATTCATTTAGATTTTGAAATGTAGGTTTTAAAAGACCTTGGCCATTATTTAAATTATTTTTAAATAATTTTTAATCATTTAAAATAATTTAAAAAATAATTTTAAATAATTTTTAAATAATTTAAAAACTACTTAAAAATTATTTATAAAAATTTAAATAATTTTCTTTAAATTATTTCAAACCCTCTTCTAGGATTTTAACTGAAATTATATTCTTTCAATAAATATTTAGAATGTCATCTTATTGGGGTTCTTTAATGATTTCTTGAACATATAGTCTTAAACGTAAAAAAAAAAATGATGATTGGGGATGTCTAGTGTGGATACACTGAAAATGCTAATAACAATTTAACCTTACTATCACTGCTGTCTTCCCCTGATTATAACTGTTTATCTGTCTATCATGAAGTAATCTGTACATGATTTTTTCTCAGATGAATTCCGAAGCTCAACAGTGAATCTGAGAAAAAAGAAACAAATTTTCTACACAGAAGAATTAAAAATAATTTATGTAGACACTTCTCTGCACTAAAGAAGGGAAATTATGACTCCTCACTCCTGCATGTAGTGACTTCCTTCCAAAAACGACAGCATGGGAAGGGCAGGAATAAGTTTAGAATCACAAATACTACCTCGGCCTGGTTATCAAGGTCTGTGTCAGCATTCACAAATCATGTTGACACTATGTACCCTAGATCTGACCAGATGAAAATGGCACTTTACTTCTGTGACCATCTCCCCAAAACCCATAATCCCAGTCTAATCATGAAAAAAAAAAAAAAAAAAATTCAGCAAACTCCAAGAGAGGAGCAGTCTACAATTTATCTGACAGTACTCTTCAAAGCTGTCAAGGTCATCAAAAATAAGGCAACTCTAAGAAACTGTCACAGCCAAGAGGAGCCTAAGGAGACATTCCAACTCAATATAACGTGGGATTCTGAATAGGATCTTGAAGTGGAAAATGAATACTAAGAGAAAACTAAGAAAATCTGAATAAAGTATGGACTATCAACACTGGTTCATTAATCGGGGCAAATGTACCATAGTAACGTAAGATGTTAATAATAACAGGGATAGATGGGAGCTCTCTGTACTCTCTTTGCAATTTTTTTGTAAATCTAAAACTTCTAAACTATAAAGTCAATGATATTAAAAAGTGAATTTCAGATGATACCATAAAGCATTTTGATAGAGGTTATTAATTAAAAAAGGATTTTTTTTTTTTTTTTTGGTCAGGCCAGTTTTGGTTGCATTTGGCTTTCTTGGGTGGACCCCTAAGAGACTGTGAAAACTTTTTAAAGTATCTCATTTGTAAACAGAAGTCATTAACTTCACATTGTAATTCAGTACTTCATATATTTCACTGAATGAAAGGTGAATGTATATTTTTATACTTTTTGGAAAACATGGCTATAGTGCTTTATATAAGCAAATTAAGTATTCCCATAAGAGAGCTTTTTAATCTTGAAAAGATGAATTTTGACCTTGATTTGATGAACAGAAGAAGGCATTATTGCTCTGCAGAACACTAATAACTTATCCTTCAAACGTTACACATACTTTCATACATTATTTAAGTATGCTTAATACAGCTTTAAGATTAAGGCAATTAGTGGGTTAATGTTTCATCAGTTTCAGGCTAGTTTTGATAGGTTTTGATATCGTGATCCGTTCATGCTCAACCAGATTAGTATAGTAGCTACTGGTTCTGTGCATGGGTTATATATGCAAAGTTAATTTAAATAAAATGAATGAATGGCATTAAGCACCAAACACTGGGAAATCTTATGTTCAATACATACTTTTAACATACATACAAACTAGTACCTGATTTAAAAGCACAGTAGAATTTGCTTTATATTTAAAAATCAATGCATTTCATATATCCTTGAAACGAACAAGTGAGGAAAATGTTCCAAATGCAAAAAAAAAAAAAAAAAAAAAATTAAATAGTAAGAGTTGCCATTCCTACAAATAATTCTGTTTATTCAATTGCATTGAATCTCAAAATGTTTCCGTAGAAGCTTGGATGCAAGATTTAAGTTTGGTTTCCATTTGTGTTTTTGTCTGAAATGTTCAAGCTCTGTTGGAAGTCAGAAGTCATATGACATAATGACACCACTTCATGGAGCAGGCCAATAGCCTCTGAAGTCTCTTTGGCTTCTTTCCCTTCTTTCTCCCAGGGAACAGAAGTCGATGAATGCCGCCCAAGACTAGGTATAAGCAGATCATCTGAAATCTGGCTTAATGTTTCCCTCTTTTCTGTTTTTCCTTTATCAGTCTGGGAAACGTCAGGGGAAGTCAGGTGGAGATCCAATCCTGAAGTAGGGTCACTCACATTGTCAGCACTGAGGTGCTTGTCACTGTTTTCCTCTTGCAGAATAAATAGAGAATCTGTCAAACCACTAGAGGAAACCCGCTTCCTGGGAGATGGAGGGAGGTGTTTGCCATGGAGAGCACTATCATCCTGCCCAAGATTCCACTCCGCTTGGTCACCAGAACCCCCACAGAGGAGAGCCAGATTATTCTCACTAGGAGCATTAGATTTATTCTGAAAAATGAAGAAACAAGAAATTCAGAAAACTTTGAATAAGCCTTAATTTAGTGTATTTTTTTCCCATTTTGAAATACATGTTAATAGTGTTAAGTGCCTCCCAGAGAAAATATAGCCTTGAGAGTTAATTTTAAACATTTCCAAATGGCTCTATTAACAGGGACGAAATGGAATGGACTTCAGTTTCCATTGCCTAGCAGCTGTCACCTATCAAATTCAAACTAGATTATATAATTAATGCCAAGTTCTGAAGTCACAATCAGAACAGGACTGTCATTACTCATTCTATTTCTGCTGTTTCTAAAGCATTCAGTTGAATTTGCATAAAATCATGTTAAAAAATAAAATCCCCTTATTTTTAAAGTAATGAAATAGAAAAAGACGATTTGAATGAATACATTTAGTACAGTTTTTTTTTTTTTTAACTCAGGAAATATGGGGAAAAAGTGAAAACATTTCACATTTTAAAAATTCCCCAGAGACAAGTATAAAATTGGATTGCAAAGTAACATTATTGCTTGACAAAATAATTTCAATTAACGACAATAAACACCAGAACTAGATAAATAAAAGGGAAAATACTAGAATTTTATTAATAGAAATAATTTTTAGTGATTAAATTTTATATTTTAAAAGTTTTGACCCTTACCTATTTATACGTTAAATGCTTCTACCAACAAAGATTACAAGATCCAGTAATCACAGCAAAAGCAAGAATATTTCCTTTTAATTTTATAAGACAAAAAATCAACTAACCGTAGGTTTGTAATCAATGTCATCCATTGATCTAAAGAAATCCAAGCTCTTTGCAGCTGCCAGCTTCCCCTGATCTGAGCTGTGTGTGCTCAGTGTATCAAGGATCTCTCCCAGTAAGTCCATTTCACCTGAGTATGGAGTCTTCACTCTTGTTTCAACAGAGTCATCACTTTCATAAAGATAAGCAGAAGCTTCTTCACCGTCTTCAGAAGATAACCTGAAGAAAAATAAAACATGCAGTAGTAGGTAAAGAACCATATTTGCTGCATGTAAGTAATCTCTCACCAATTACATTACATTAATGAGAGACTTAATGAGAGAGTTAACAACAAAATCAATTTGGTTCATGACCAAATTCTTTATAGTGATGTATACACCAATTCAAATACAGAAATACTTTGTACATGCATTAAGAACAAATAAACAAAAAGTTGATGGTATCTTATAAAACTGAAAGTAGAAGTAGGGCTTTTCACAGTTTAATTCTGTGGAATTTGGAACCTTTACTTAGGAATATTAGACTGAATTACTTGGAAAGTTTGCTATAGCCTAAATTCACTTGCAAGATTTAATATGGTTTCCCTATTCACTTATTTTAGAGAATGCATATTCCTTTACAGAGAAGTATATTTAATGAAGAAAAAAGAATGTTCGTTTTGCCACTGACATACACCAACTGTAAAAAGCTAAACATCTATTATTTCCCTTATATTAAAATTATTTTTTAATGCTTTTTAATAAATTTTCATCTTCTGATATCACCATAGGTTTAAGTCTCCTGTGCCCTCAATTCCATTTCTTTCTATTGACTATTATCATTGTTCCTGATATTTGAACTTCCTCTCTTCAGAATGAGTAAGAGCCTAATTTAGATGGACTTCTACTTCCCCTAATACTATCCCAGGTATCTCTGTAGACATTATTGTTTTCCAAGAACAAGATATTTGAGATCCATCTTAGTTCCTGTCCCAAGATATCCACCACAACATTCCAAGTAGCACTGGGTCCTTTTGCTGAAGAACACTGTATAAGAACAACATCTGAGCTCTAGGAGCGCATATTCCTCAAAATACCCTTTATAACTAAAAACTTCTGCTGTTAAGCCATACGGCCTCACAGGACACCAACATCCATTACTTACTTGCTTGTTCTTTCAATGTCATCATCATCATCATCATATAGAGCACCATCAAGGCTCTTAAGAGGCCTTTTTAAGCGTGCCTGGAGAGACAGATTGACAATAAATTGGCATTGGCAGTTTAAAAAATTATGCTGAGCAATTTTCAAAGAAACAACATGATTTGATAAGAAATAAGTTTGCAAGAAATATGCATTCAGGGTTTTTGAATATTACCCAATAACCTGACAAACTGGGACAGGAAGAAAGGGAGGCGATAAGAAATATTTGTCTCAACACTTACAAATAAAAAACACCAATAAAAACACAAATCACTGATTGAATACACATGCACAGTCACACAGTCTTTCAGGCCCTGATTTAGAAATACTTGACTTATCATACCCCCATGCACCCATTACACAGTTTCAACAATTATCAGTATTTACCAATTTGTTTCTTTTATCCCTGAGCCACACTCTTCTCTACCCCAAGTATTTTAAAGCTGTGCTTCTCAAATCTTTATGTGCGTACACACCTCTTAGGGATGTATAAAAATGTAAAAGTGTGGATTCTGGTTCTATAGTGTTTCTGGGCCTGAATTTCTGCAGTTCTAACAAGCTCTTAGGTGAGGTCAGTACTGCTGAATCTGGGCGTCACACTTTGAATCGCTTTTTGAAGCAAATCCCAGGCACCCTATTGATTCACCTGAAGAACTTCACTATGTATTTTAAACATTTTTTTTAACATAACCAAAATATCATTATCATACTTAGAAAACTAATAATTGTTCTTGAATATCTTATATTACTCAGGCCAAATATTGCTCCCCAGATTTTTTAGTTCGCTTCTTTGGATCAGAATCCCAACAACGTTAGTATCGTATTTGATGTGTTTCTCAAGTCTCTTTCAGGGGACTCAGTTCAACCTTCCCTCTCCTATACCCTGTCCTCATTTCCTATAAATCGGTAGCTACAACTGGAAGCTTAGCCTGTTTCTTTTTCATCTTCCTTTGTTTTGGGCAATAATATTACATGGTTATTGATATGTACATTTTTACTGTATCACAGGTGTAGGCACATAAAATGTTTTAATATCTCATTTTTGGTGGTACTAAGATTGATTAATGATGTCAGATATGATTTGTTGAGCCAACCATTACACATTTTCTAATCAACTTTTGACTTGAAGGTTTCAGCATTCCATGATAACCACTGGCTAAATCCACTGTTTCATTAGGGGCTAAATAATGATGCTTGTCTAGAGCATTCCTTCTATATTTATTTGCTGGCATTCTACAAAGAAGAGCTTTACCTTATCAACTATTTGACTATTCCAAAATACAATGTACAGGAAAGACAGGACAAATCCTTGATTTCTTTCCTTTTATTTAACAGTTTTCAGAGTGATAAGCTAGTTAGTGTCCTAACAATTTCTAAAGGCAAGTCATGAAGGTTTTTAAAATTACCATTATTAGTAGATATTCGATGTTGTTCAATCCACTACAATTCCTCTTCTTAATGTTCAAATTGTTCCATCTTTGAAATGTACCATGATTATGTTTTTAAAATCATCCTTATCTTTTACCCAATTAACTTGATAAACTGGGACAGGATCTTGAAATATTCTCATATATCTTGAAATATTCCTAGATTAAATGATATGCTTTTGGGTATTTATTTCAAAATAACTTAATGGTGGAGAGACAGCATAGGTGGGGCTGGGAGTGAAGTAAGATTGGCCATGAGTTGATAATCGGTGAAAGCTACATAAAAGGCTCCCAAGGATTTTATACGCTTCTCTTTCCTCTATATATGTTTGAAATTTCAAAACAAAGTTTTTTTTTTAATGACTTCGTTCTGTTACCAGTGGTAGCCCTTTCAAGTTGATTGCTGTGTCCTTTGACATAGAAGTGTTTAGTAAGCCTCATGCTTTTGGCACAATAAGATGTCTCATTTCAACTCAGAATTTTTCTGCATCAAACCTGGAATCAGTCATTTCTTTCTTTCTTTTTTTTTTTTTTAAATCCTGGTTTCTTTAGATGGGAAATGGCATTTAAAGGTTAGAGTCTGGGTGCTATGGGTGGTCATGGCTGTAAGCCATCCTTTTGAATGAACAACAGTAAACTTGAATTTGGAGACTTCAACCATGACACCAGAGAGGAATAACTTTCTGCCTTCTGACTTTGAGTTCCCAATCTAGAGAACTGTCTTCTTTTATTGCAGCCACAGAGTAAGCAAATTTCTGGAACCCATAGGACTGATTCCTACTCCACCCTCTCTATGCCACTGCTTATGAGTGGCAGAAAGGAAGGATAAGTAGCAAAATATGTTCTTATAACCCCTACTTGAAACATGCAGTGAGGCTCTCACAAATTCAGTGATTAAAAATATATCTGGGCCTATAAGTGTCTATAACTAGGGACTATCTCCTCACCACTATAAGTTTAAGGTACATGAGTTAAACAGAAATACACAGAGTAGCCTAGGAACAAAGCCACCACTCACAGCAATATTTCTGTGGGAAAAACATATTTCACCCACTCCCTCCAAAACTCACAAAATATGATACAATCCTTTGTTTCTGAAGACAAGCCATTATTACGAAGAGCGCTGTACATTCTTGGCTTTATGCCAGCTAGCAGGTCCTGCATTTAACTTTTTGTTTACAAAGGAAACAAACTGAAACAAACAAAGTCTATGAGAAAGCTGAGACTTTCTATTGCTATCAATTAAAATGACTACTACTTAAGAACTAATACAGGGAGCTGAGAGAATACATACTTAACAGTGTTCACACTTGTAGAGTACTTTGCAAAACACTCTCACATACACAGGGAATATAAAGTTAAATTAAGTCAAGTCTTTGACACTGAACAGCTCTAAGTCTAATGGATCCCACAGTAAATCTGGAGGTATTCCCAGAGAAGTACATAATTTGCCCAAGGACACACACTTTATCAAAACTAGGAACCAGAAAACAGAACTTATGTCTTGCCCTGTTGTGTTTCAAGTCCCTTGTTCATTTTCTTCCACAAAAGTTACCTTTATAATCTGTAGCTGTCTGCATATAACACAGATTCTCTAGTTTTTAAAGTCCAACTTTTTTATGAAGCTACTGCTTTTTCCACAAACATCTAAGTCTTGATATAAGCTTCACAGGTACATTTAAATTAGTTTCATATTTCCTAGTTAGACAAGGATTCTATCAATTTCTATATATGGATGTTAAACAGTGTATCTTATAATGAGGTTTAATACTAGATGTAAAATTAGAAACAGAAGTAAAACTGATTAATATGCTGTTTTCATTTCCTTGGCTGTTAAGCTTTGTGTTATCTATACTTATTGCACATGCATTTAAAAATTATTTACATATATGAAATAAACTTCTTCTAAGTAATAGTCATTGACTATATATCAACCTGCATTAGGAACTACAATTTATACGTAAGAAATCACGTCCAAACACGTGGTAGAATATGTCAATTACTTGACGACTTCTACATAATTTTGTTAAGGTCCCCAAAAAAAGAAAAAAAATTAAGAAGAAAAATAATAATAATGTAATCAACATTTAAGATAGAGAAGAAGGGCAGTAGAGATAATCTGAGTCCCTACAATCTCAGCAGCTGTTGGTGTTCTGGTGGATAGCCACTCTGAAGTACAGTGCTTTCAGGGGAAATAAAGGACAGTCTTCCTCATGTTCAGAACATACAACACAGGGCAAAAAGACTTGGTCACAATTTTTAAAGTAAAGATGTTTTGTGGGGAAATGATAGTAAATACGTTTAGACTGCAGAAAAACACATCATGTATTCTTAAGGGCACGAATATGTAGCTAGTAACAACACATCTTCATCCAGATTAACAAATCACAGACATATCATTGTCCAAAAATGCATATGAAATAGGTAGACCCTGAAATATACATGACTATGAAGAGAAAAATAATCTCAACCTACACAATAAAAATAAAATATATATCCATTCTTTTAACACAATTGGATATAGCTTTGAGGAAGGGTGTACATGTCTCCCTCCCCTCTATTTTTTCTAACTGTAAAGATAATAAACAGATGCAGCTGCCAATAGAATGAGTCTTATATGTTGTATATATTCAGAGAAATATATTCTATTTCAGATCTGGATAGAAATCTCACAGTAGTATGTGCACAATGAGAAATTTTCCAAGAGTCAAAACCATTTTCATCATAAAACATGATCTAGAACTTTCTGAAATGTTCACTAAGTCATACGGCCTACATTTGTGAACAGATGCTTTTTTGAAAATAGTGATAATGAAATAGATTAAGAGATTGAGCCATATACAGTTAACATAATAAAATACCTAAGGAAAGAAAAAGTAATTTAATTTCCAGAAAAAAAGCCTAAAATTTTTTTCAAAGCTTTGCTAGACGATAAGACAGAGGACATGCACCTAGAAAATCAGTCTGAGTCACGGGTCAGCCTCCCATTGCTTCTCTGCCTGCTGCCAATATTTAATGCTTTTCTTTTCTGTATTTTTTAACGTGCAGTTTCTGCACAAATTTTTAAGAAAAGGAGAAAAGACTTTTTTCCTTGATCAGATTTCTAATAATAACTAGCTTTCCTTAATATTTTGTTACAAGAGACAAGATTATGATACTGTTTTTTGCTACCTCTGACTTTTAGGAAGCGGTAATAGACAAAAATAACATTTTCTGAGTGTTCATAGTTAGAAAATAGCTTTTTCTACGTGTAAAACCCAGACTTTGGAAGTTCTGATATTTTTAAACATTATTAATATTTTAAGAAATAAAGTTGTTATATTTAATAAAGTCACAGAAAACAAAAAAAAAAGCTATACCCTACACATTTTAGTCTTTGGTATCACACTGATTTTTATAATCTCAGGCAAAATCCTTTTTTTCTGTTATTTGTTTAATGTATATCGGCACTAGTAATCAATTCTAACCTGGAGATTAATAAATATACTTAAGTACCATCTTATTTAGAGAAATAGTACCCACATAAAAATGTACACATGCTGTTTCAGCCAAATGAGATGCAAGCTTTTCAGCCCTCGAAATACCTCACAATATAGATTAAATAAAAAATACAAC